TCCTGGCCCGGGCGGGCTGTGCGAGGCGGCGGAGCCGGCGATGAAGAAGAAGCAGCAGCAGCATCCCAGCAGCGGCGAGGATCCCTGGCCCCATGGGGCCCCTGTGGGGGGCGCCCCTCCTTGTCTGGGTGGCTGCAAGCGCCGGATCCCGCTGCTGCCTTTCCTACGCTTCTCCCTCCGGGACTACGGTTTCTGTATGGCCACCCTGCTGGTCTTCTGCCTAGGCTCCCTCTTCTACCAGCTCAGCGGGGGACCCCCTCGCTTCCTGCTCGACCTGCGACAGTATTTGGGTAAGGAAGAGCAGCGTTGACCCGACAAAGTTGGGCACCCGGGGAAAGAGTGATAAGCGGAGAACATCTAAAGCTGTCACAGCCTCCACGGTCCCCGAGGCTCCCTAGGTGCGATGCCAGTGAGCATCCCTCCTAGTGGCAGCTGGGAGCGCCTGCTTCCTTCTGCGCGCCCGGCTGCCCGCAGCTGCACGGGGCTCTGAGGCCGGGATACCTGTTCCCCCTCACCACTCCAACTGGGGCAGTGTATGCTTGTGAGTGTGTGTGTATACTCTGGCCCGGCGATGCGGGGACAGTACTCTCTGCGGTTATGGTTAATGACTTCCAATCCAGTACGGTCTGGCTTTCTGGGTTGTGGAGGGTGGGTTTAGCCCCGCTCTCCAGTCACATGTAGAAATTCTATCTAGTGGGTCCCCTTTTGTGGGTTGGCCCAGTTGCTCCACTCTGTCCCTGGGCTGGCTTGTCCATTGGCAGCACCTGCAGACCTTGCGGACTGAGAGAGCGGGAGGAATTAGGGCTGTCAGAAAGGTGTCAGTCAGCAGCTTAGCCTCTGGTGACCTGTCGAACTTCCGCCCTGTGTGTGTCTTAAGCCAGAACTTTTTTTCCTTTTGGTTTGTGGCTAAGGAAGAGGTTGGAACCAAGAAAACAGAGATTTCAGTGAGGTGTGACCTCGCTGCTGTCTCATCCGGGCTTCTAATTGCCAGAGCTTGGCCAGCACTCACTGAGGTCCCAGGGATGATGCTGGCTCTGGTGCCTTGGCCAAGCGAGGATGAAAATTCCTTGACTTCTGTAGCCAGAAGAGGTCGCGTGGAGGTTGCCTCTGAGGTGGTAAAACATAAGCGGAGGAACCGCAAACAGTGGTCATCTGCAGGCCCAGAGTCGGTTCAGGTGGAGACTCTGTCAAAGTGCTGGAAACAGAATGGGCTAAATGACGTGCCAAACCGGAGACTTCTACATGTACCTCCAAGGTCCTTTTCTCACCGAAGCAACAGGTCTAGACAGTAGACCATTTGGAAGGAAATACAAGAAAACCTCAAAACCACACCAACAAACGCCTTAGGCAGTCTGGGAGTGGTATAAACTGATAAACTAGTACTCGGATTTTTTAAAAGCTAAAAATCTCATTTCAGTAGAAATGTTGGGGGCACTGTGATTTTTGCAAGAGCCTCAATGGAAGACTAAAGAAAAATATTGCCTGGGTCAGATTTCCGAATTCTTAGCATCTGGCTTTATGGTTTTGAGTTAATAAACCCTTTTTATTGGTCAGTGTAACCTTCATTCTTTGTAATTCTGCATTTTGGAGTCTTGAGCCTTCTTCACCCGCTTTCAGACACCAGCTCCTGCTCCTGGTGACTTTATCTCCACTGTCAGGAACAATCAGTATCTGCTAGTATGGAGAAGTGTTGAAGCTCAGGGATATTCCTCCAGAGAGTCTCTGATAGTGTGCCACACCCCCACCAAGCTCCTTTTAAGTGAAGTGTGAGGTCTGGGGTATAAAATGTGTTATATGGTATTGGGAGGCCTCTGTGTCCACTCTTCCCAGGAAAACTTGGCTTTGAGCCGTGTTCAAACTATAGCTTTGTCTCTCTATGTCATTAGGGATTTGACCCAATTTCCATCACACCTGACTGAACCTGGCTCCTACAGTTTTGTGGTGCTGTCATCCTTTATGTGAAGGAGACCCTGAAGGTGGGGGGTGAGGAGCAAGGGCCTTTGAGGACAGAATCAGGAAAGTTCAGTATGTGAGGCACTCACCTGTTCACTCTCTATTTTAGAAGGTGAGACTGGATGAATATGGAGGGTCAGGAGGTGAAAGAGAGAACTGGCCAAACTTACCGGAGGGCTGCATAGTCTTTACTAACTGACCGTTTTCTGGTGGATGTGGTGGTTTAGGCAACGCCATCTCTGTGAAATGCAAATAGAATTCCCTTGTCAAATCTCTTCCTTGTTACTTTGTCACATAGATAATCATTTCTGGGGAAAGTGGGCTTGTGGGCTTTCGAATGGTCTAAAATAGACCCTGGATTGTATCAGGGGAAGCTATCTGCACACTTGCTTGCCAATAACCCACCTCTTCTCTCCTCTCTCTCGTATTTTAGAGTTTATTCATACAGAATATATTGCTAGTGAAAAAAATACTCTCAATTTCCCTCTTAAACAGCTTTGGAGGTATTTTCCCCCCTCAAATGTAAATGTGCACAAAGTCCAGTATTTCTAGATCAACATACTATATTAAGCATGTTCTTTACAGACTATAATTTCAATATTTGGACTGTATTATACATTTGCTGCATGAGAGCTATTTGATCATTATTGGTGAAGTTAATGACTGAACCTATTTTACCAGGTAGGTAGAGAATATTTAATGTGTTGAATATTCTTATGAAATTGCAAAACATCCCAGGTAATCATGATGAAAGTGAACATTAACCGTGTCAGTCAGTGCACGTGCAAATGAGAGCTAATCCACATTGTGGCACTACTCGTAGCTTCTATTTTTTGTCCCAGTTTTGTATAGGAAAATTGAAGGCTACGAATGAATGTGGGGTAGGCTGGAGAGATGGCTCAGTGGTTAAGAGCACTGGTTGTTCTTCTAGAGGTCCCAAGTTCAATTCCCAGCAACCACATGGTGGCTCACAACCATCTGTAATGAGATCTGGCCTGCAGGTAGAACACTGTAGACATAATAAACAAACAAACAAACAAACAAATAAATAAATCTTAAAAAAATTAAAAAAAAGAATGAATGTGGGGTATTGGATCTGGAATGGCCACCAAAGGCCAGTAGGTGAAATGTTACATTCATCCTTGGCTTGGTGTGATTGAAAGGCAGTGGAAATGTTACAAGTTGAAGCCTTATGGGGAGGTTTTAGGTCAGGTCATTGGGGAGGAGTGTGCCCTCCAAAAGGGTTGCTGGGCACTGGTATCTCCCTCCTTCAGCATACAGACATGCTGTGAAAGAGGCTCTTTACTGTGTGCTCTCCCCATGACATACTAGGTCACCACAGGCCAATGCAATGGGCATCAGTCAGTTATGGATCAGTAGCTCCAGAACTGTGAGCCAAGTAAGACCTCTAAGTTAGTTCATCTTGGGTACTTGGTACAGTGACAAAACTGATTGACATGGGAGGATATACGGATAGGGAAACAGGACCTGCCTCCAAAGCAGTCTGATTCCAGTGCCCGTCTGGATTCAGATTCCAGTCTGATTCCCATGAAAGGCACCATGGGAAGTTTAAGAGAGAAAGTGCAAACACGGTAGAAATAAGAAGGGGGATGTCTCAGCTGACTGGCTAAGCAATCTTCAGATTGACACCCACAATTTCACTTTCCTTTTCTTGATCTTTTACTCTTGAGTTTCTTGTGAGGCAAGCAGTGAAGGGAAAATCATTGAAGCCACTGGTCTGTTCAAACTCTGCCTTTCCATTTATATTAGTTACATTTCTTATCCATGTGACAGGTTACCTGACACAAGCCACTTGAGGAAGGAGGACTTTATTTTAGTTCATGGCTTCAGTCTGTTCTGGGGATGGCACGGCAGAGTATGTGGTGTGGGCTCATTGTGTGGTGAGGAACCAGAAGCAAGGCCTGGCTGTCACTCCTCTAAGGCCTGTTCCTAGTGGCTTGGATCTGCCAGCTAGGCCCCATGTCCAAGGGTTCCACAACCTCCCCAAACAGCATCATCAGCTGGAGACCAAATGCTCAAATATGTGAGCCTTTGGGAACATCTTCCATTTAAACAATGATCCCATTAATGGTGGCCATACTGCCTCTGATAAAAAACTGGACTCTCTCTCTGACAGCAGAACAGCCAGAGATAAGGGACAGTGGAACTGTAGTCCTCCCTGGTCTTTCCCTAGACGTTCTGTGTGTAGGGTCTTGGTTCTCAGTGTGGGTCCTTTGATCTGTAGCATCAGCATCACTTGGGAATTTGCTACATATTCAAATTCTCAGGACATCTGAATTTCCTTCCAGACTTTCTGAATGAGCCTGGGCCTGGGCCTAGCATGTGGTCTTGCCAGGATTGGGGCCTGAAAACCATTGTTTCTGCACTAAACTATTGCTTTCAGAGGCTGTCGAAGGTGTTTGTGAGAAAAAGGAGGTGGAAAGGGAACTGATTTATAATGATGTTTCAAGGTCATAAGCATGGTTTCATTGTTTAATCTCAAGTGATATAAATGCAATTTGCTTTACAGCATAAGGCCCATTGCTTTGAGAGTGGGAGGGGGCGGAACCACTAATAGCTGCAGTCCTACCTGGCTTTACCCTTCTCGAGATTATGAGAGACATGGAGTGGGGCAAAGTGGGGCAGCCAGGAAGCAGGGTGTGGGCAGGGAAGAGATAGGTGACAGGATACAGAGAGGAACCGGGGTCAAAGGGTTCCTTCTTCCAGCCAGTTTGGGGAAGGACAGAATGTATTCTTCTAAAGTGAACTTCCTGCTGCAACAAATTCAAAAAAGGGAGAGAAGTTGGGAAAGGAAAATGAAGTATAAAATAGCTAACACTGTACTTAAGGATAAGAGCCCATAGGTTTTCCAATTCAGTGGAATAATGTTTTTAAAATTACATATATGTATATGTATAATTACATATATGGATAGGTAGATAGATTGTGTGTGCGTGTGTGCGCGCGCTCTCGAAGGTGCCATGGCATATGCATAGAGATAAGAAGACAATTCAACTCTGTGGCTAGAGTCAGTCCCTTTGCCTTTGTATGGACCCCAGGATTGAACTCAGATTCCTAGCATTGTGCAGTAAATGCCCTTTACCATTGTGTGACCTTAACAACCTGAAATTCTTTCGATGTTTTTCTTTTGAGGCAGGGTCTCATTTTGTAGTGCTAGCTGTTCTCGAACTCACTCTGTAGACCAGCCTGGCCTCTGCCCCCTGTGTGCTGTGATTACAGGCGTTCGCCACCATAGCCAGGTTGCCTCTCTCCCTTCTTTCTGCATTCAAACTTTGATTTGCTATAGAAGACAAAATGAACACCAACCCATTTCCAA